TGAGGGTGCCTGTGTAAAACCTGAAACTTCTTCTATCCTTTATAAAAACTCACTTGAATCACAAACCAGAGTTTGGCGTGAATTCTTTCCTTTGGGAAGCCAAGGACGGAGATATTTCCACCCGAGGAACCTAATAAATTCCTCCTTGAGTGCCTTCTTCTACTTTATCAAATATGATGTCCTCCTTCAGGGATTGGTCTCTCCTGACATGTCCAAAGTACGTCAGAGGAAGTCTCGCCATCCTTGCCTCTAGGGAGCACTTGTCTGTTCTTTTAGCAGTCTGTGGTATTTTCAATATTGTTCCCCACCCAGCACAATGAAAATGCAGCCATTCTTCTTTGGTCTAGCATCGCGAATGCCATCAAGGGCACACCCAGGCAAGTCCCTAAGGGCAAGGCTGCTCCTCCCTGGGCTGGTGAGGGGGGTGGTTACAGCAGTAACAAAATAAATAAAAATTTAAAAATAGTCCAGTGGCTAAAATCAGGAGTAAAGGGACACCACTTTCAGAAATAAAAAGGACTATACATGAATATTATGAAACATTGTATTCCAACAGTTACCCTAAATGAAAGGCAAATTCCTAGAAAGACACAAACTACTAGAACTGAGTCAAGAAGGAATAGAAAACATGAAAAGATGTAATAGCGATAATAATAAGCAAAACTTTCCACAAAGAAAAAGCCAAGACGTGGGTGGATTACATGGTACTGCTAGGTAGGCTAGCCTAGGGCTGGGGGATGTCCGTTAACGCATGCCCAGAGGGCCAAGCTACGGAGACAAAGGAGTGGCGCACTGCACATGCTCAGAGGTTTTGGTTTCCGGCTGGTAGGCATGGGTGGGAATTCACCTAGGCCAGGTGAATTCAATTCAGCCAATGGGGTCCATCAGGGGTCGTCTACCACGCCTCCCCATGGAATCCATGAAAAGGCAGGAGCCCAGAGAACTGCATGTTCGGGAGGAGTCCTATGGGTGCCCGTAACTTCTTCTAACTCTCATAAAACTTACTTGAATCACAAACCAGGCTTCGCCATGAATTCTTTCTCGAGCAGAGCCAAGGATCGAGGTATATCTAGCTCCAGAGAGATCTAACAATACCAAATGTTTAAAGAAGAATTAATGCCAATTCTTCATAAACTCTTCCACAATGTAGGAGTGAACACAGCTGGTTCATTCTGAGAGGCCAACCTGACTCTGCTACCAAGACCAAGTGAATGCTTCATTAGAAATTTACAGACTAATATTCCGTATGAATATAAATGCAACAATTCTCCTCAAATCTGGCAAACAGAATCTGGCAGCACATTGAAAGGATTTTACATCGGGGCTAACCATAGGCATAAATGCCATATTCACAGAATGAAAAAAAATTCATCATCTTAGATGCAAAAAGCTTTTGGCACAATCCAGTGCCTTTTCAAGGGAGCCCAGGTGGTACAGTTGTGACGCCGTGCGGCTGACATCCTAAAGACAGGCAGCTCAAGAGCACCAGCTGCACCTGGGGAGAAAGACCGGGCTTTCTACTCTCAGAAACCCATAGGAGCAGCTCTACCCTGTCCTGGAGGGTCGCTTCGCGTCGACAGAGGCTTGATGGTAGTTGAGTTTCATTTTTTAATTCCCTTTCATGGAAAAAACCAAAACACTCAAAACTAAAATATAAACAAGTCTGCTCAATTTAATAAATTCATTTATGAATAATCCAAATCTAACCTGATAGTTACTGGTGAAAGACCGGATGATTTCCCTGAAGATCAAGAAGACAAAGATGCCCACGATCACCACTTCTGTTCAACACTTACTAGAAATTCTAGCCAGAACTATTAGGCAAGAAAAAAACAATCCGCACTGCAAAGGAATAAACAAAATTATCCATCACTCAAATGGTCATTGTTGCAGATCCAAATTGGAAACAACTTTTATGTACATCAAGCAGCAGAATGGATTCCCCACCCCACCCCCCAAAAAAAAAGGGAACAGGAACTCTGGTGATGTAACGTAAGTGTTGGATTGCTACCCACAAGATCAGCAGTTCAAAACCACCAGCTGCTCCTCAGGAAACAAGATGAGACTATTTGCTCCCATAAAGATGTAGTGCCTCAGAAGTCCTATACAGGATTTGGATGGCCGTGATTTTTTGGTATATCCACATAATGAAATATTACCACTGTAATGATAATAAGTGATCAACAACTGATGTCGCTGTGAACAAACATTACAAACACAAGGTTGTGCTGTACAAAAGAAGCATTCACAAAAGAGTACACACTGTATTATTCTCAAAAGCACAGAATTTCTCCATATTGTAAGTCAGGGTGGTGGGTACCCTCTGTGTTAGTCCAGGTTGACTAGAGACACAAATTCAGAGACACTCATATGTGTAAAAGAGAACTTTATATGAAGAATTATGCATATCTATGTACATATATTCATATGTTAAGTATTAAGGTAGCAGATGGACTTTGGATCTCTACTCAAGTACTCCCTCAACACAAGAACACTTTGTTCTAGCAACCCGGCAACACCTTCCCAACACAATCACTTAAGAGAAAATGGGTGCATAAGCAAATGTAGTAAAGAAATCCGATGGTGCCCACTTATCAAAAGATACAGCGTCTAGGGTCTTAAAGGCTCGAAGATAAACAAGCAGCCATCTAGCTGAGAAGCAACAAAGACCATAAGGAAGAAGCGCACCAGCCTGTGTGATCATGAGGTGT